CCGGAAGTGAGGATGACGGACGGAAAATTAATTTTTATACTTGCAGAAACATACGTTATCCAAAAACTTGTCAAGAACGGCAAAAATACGCGTTTTCCGACTACTTCCGGTTTGGCCGGAAGTGACGACGCCGGACGTATTTTGATGACTCCAATATATTAAGCTTGACATTTTGAACAACTTTGCTTCTTTGACGTATTACAAATTCTCAATACTTTTTGAGATATAAAGGAAAAAATGTCGGCCCCTCTAGTACCTTAATTTTAGGGGCCAGCCCTTTTTTCGAGATATCATTTGAAAGATCTTGGAATTCTACACTTCTTTTGGTCTATATATTTTATCAAAATATTTCCAGGTAAAAAGATATAGTAGAAAAGGTGTTAACAATTTTGAAATTCGAGATACGACTATTTTCGCGCCATAGCGAGCGCCGACGTGCGGCACTTCAGATAGAAATGAAATAAATTTTACATATCTATAGACTTCGGACTATCATACCTGAAATTTCACGTTTCTATCTATAGCCATTTTTTAGAACGTTCTAGGACAACCTGACCCTTCAAAAATCATAAAATCGACAATATCTCCAAACCGGAAGTGACGTCATCAAATCGGAAAAAAATGCATAAGTTTCAAGTAATGTTACATAAGTCCTGAAAGTTTCATGGAAATCCATCGAACCGTTTTCGAGAAATCGCGTGCACAAAATCGGTAAGAAAAAAAAGAATAATAATAATAACTAGAGCAAAGCTTGTTGCAAAGCAACGAGTAGGTCTACCGTCCTGTTTGACCGGAAGTAGCTTTCATTTAATAAATATGTGAAATAACGCCCAAAAATGGTTTGAATCCTCTAAATCCATATTAATAAATGCAAAAAAAGCCATTTTCTGCTACTTCCGGTTTGACCGGAAGTGATGACGACGGACGGAAAATTAATTTTAATGCTTCCAGAGACATATGTTACCAAAAAAACTGTCAAGAACGGCTAAAATACGCGTTTTCCGATTACTTCCGGTTTTACCGGAAGTGACGACGCCGAGCGTATTTTGATGACTACAATAGATTCAGCTTAACATTTTGAACAACTTTGCTTCTTTCACGTATCACAAATTCTCAATATTTTTTGAAATATAAAGGAAAAACTTTCGGCCCCTTTAGGCCCCTAATTTAAGGGGCCAGCCCTTATTTCTAGATGTCATTTGAAAGATCTTAAAATTCTACACCTTTTTTGTTCTACATGCTTTAACAAAATATTTCTAGGTAAAAAGTTATCGTAGAAAAGGTGCTAAAAATTTTGAAATTCTAGATAGGACTATTTTTGGGCCATAGCGAGCGTCGGCGCCTCGTACTTCCGGTAGTTGTGATATACTTAGTGCACTTCTCCAAAGGTTGCTCTAGCATCACTGAAAATTTCATGCTTCTGTGTTGAGTACTTTTTGACAAAACTGCCGGACAAAGTGACCCTCTAAAAATCACTAAATCGCAGAAATCTCCGAACCGGACGTGACGTCATTAAAATAAAAAAATATTTGTCTAGATTTTTTGATGTTCTATCAGACCTGAAAGTTTCATGAAAATCGATCAAGCCGTTCTCGAGAAATCGCGCGCACAAAATCGGTAAGAAAAAAAAAACAATAATAAAAATAGTGGAAAAGAAACCTAAGAAAAACAATAAGGTCTTCCGCTGAAGACGGAAGATCTTAATAATAAAAGTGAAAAAGAAACCTAAGAATAACAAGAAGGTCTTCCGCTGAAGACGAAAGACCTTAATAATAAGAAACAATAGAATCACTATAAGGTCTTCCGTGAAGACGGAAGACCTTAATAATAAGAAACAGAGTAAAAACAATATGTTCCCCAACTTCGTTTGGGGAACATAAATAGGAGAGGAGCAAACACGGACATCCGAAAAATCAGAAGTAAGATCAGGTTCCATGGAGGAGTTAACATCCCCATACGACCGGTCACAACTCCTGTACGCTTGTGTTCCTTGTCATGATCAGGAAATAACGGAAAAATCCGTCATCAATTCAGTGTATAAATAATTGATTAACAATAAGTATGAAAAAAGTCAGTTAGAAATTATAAATTGTATTTGCTGAAAAGTTCATTGTATTTACAACAGAACTTACGGAATGATAAAGAGGTAGGTTCACAAACTCCATAAAATGGCCCTGTAAATATACCAATTAACCGACCAAGTCTTAAGGTTCTATTTGGAAATCAACATAAAGTAGATACTTAGTGCTTTCAGTTCATATAAAAAAAATTTCGTCTGAGAGTCAAAGTTTGGAAACTCAGACGTTGTGAAACTGCAATGTTCTTGATTTTTTAAGAAAATGGGTGAAATTGAGCATCTTTAACTTTTAATAAAAATATGAGCCCACACCGCGATCCAAAAAAAAATTTGACTATTTTGGACTAGGATCCTCTGAAATTGTTCTTCCATTATATATTTAAATATTTTAGATCAGAGGTTGGGAGCTATGCAAAATATTAAAAAAAAAAAAACAGCTTAATTTTTTGTCATTTTTAGAGAATTTTCCAGATTTTAGGAAAATGACAAAATACATGACGTCATAATACATAGACAAGAGACAAAATTACGTAATTTTTATTTGATATGAAGTCACCAAGGGTCCAAGTGAAATTTAACATATTTTCAACTAAAAATGAGTTGTTCTGATTTTTCAAAAATTCACAGGGCCAAAAAATGGACCAATGTGACTTTTGTTCTTTAAACGAGACTGCTGATACATTTGTTTCATCAACTTTTTGTCAATAATTTTACCCCGTTTTAGAAACTGTTCATATGTGGAGTATACTCGTGTGTATCCAATCAATAGAAGTATATAAACTCCGTATGCAGGAGAGGAAGGTACTGTATATTGCTGCATAAGTAAGGGAAACTGACGATAGATAAACTAGCCATCACTTTTATCATAGAGCTTGGATGTTGATTTATCATTATCGTCTTTTCATGTACGTAAAATATCCGAATCTGAAACAGATGTGTTTGACTTAGAGGTATCCTTTATTTCAAGCTCACCATGATATATCGTATCGACATAAGAAAAAAAGAAATAAAAGAGCCGTGGCGCATTTGATAGCCACTTTCGCCTACTCTAGTAGTGATTTTTTAAATACATAGTTTAACCAAAATTTTGTCATACAACGTTAATTTATGCAAGCCTTAAAGCAAATCACACAAAAATAATATTCAAATATTAATTATTTCCCTCATATAAGAGATATAAAAATCCTTCAGTTTATATGGAGAATATAGTAAATACGGAGGTTTCCCCCTAAGCAATGACAAACTGTAGCAAAAGACCACCCTTAACCAACAAAACAACTTCTGAATATTTTTGGATATGACTGCACCTCATTACATTTAGATTATTGTGATTAAAGGTGGTCTTCATATTGAAAATGTTGAAAATATGTATTTAATTTTTCTTCTAAAATTATTTAAAGATTCAACAATCTGTCTTAATCTTATCCCTTGAACTAACATGACTTCTTGGCGTAGTGGTATGATTGCTGGATTGTAGATGTAATGATCGTGAGTTCGTGTCTCAAAGTGTGTGTTTCTTATCCATGCTTTTATTTTTTTTTCCTCTATGTGTATTTTTTCTATGTTTTCTTTTATTATTTTATAAAACATGTATTAATAATAATAGAGATAAAATAAACAACAACAGACTTTGAATGTATCTCGGGAAAAACAGTCCTAAACTATTTTGATGACACAAAGTCATAACTGCTAGCTTGTTTTATTTTCAAAATTTTCTAAAAATCTTGTTTAAAATAAGAGTATTGAACAAAATGGTTGTCATGTAACAAACTCGCAACTATGAAAATATAACACTTGTCCATAAATGATTACATACATGTAGTTTGATTTAGAATTTTTGAATACAAACAGGTGTTTTCCTTTTAAATGCCTGAGTCGGTTCATGTTTTATGCAAGAGAAGAGTAATATTTACAAGGGATGAAAGTTAGGACGTGATCTATGCTAAAAAGCAAGGGAGTAATTAATTTGAATTTTTTTTCTTTTGATGATATATCTTTTCAAGAATTATTGAAAGGACCACATAAGTCCGTGTTTCGCATTTTAGGTGCATCAATGTAAGCCAATCAAATGTTACGGCTCATTGATAATAATTAATACGGCAACATGTAGAAAGTAAAGGCAAACTCTTGACAAAAAAATCCACGAAGAACGATATTTTCTACCACTTTTAAGGTGCGCCCACTCCCACAGCTGTACGAGGTTGTTGGGATAAATTCTACATAAGGCTGCATGGAGGTCGCCATATTGTTTCAAACGTCATATTATTTATGTATGTTACAGCTATTTTCATTGGACAAATATTAAAGAGCTTCAAAAGACTTAACTCAATTACAGCGATAGGCGGCGCAATTAAAGTTCCCATTTGATAGGACTAAATCTGCCAAGAGTTTTAGAGTAGACTTCAGATCGGAAGCCCTTGGCTAGCGAAGATGCTATGGATTTTGAAAAAAAAAAGATTTATGTGTTTGGCATAGCTGTAGTTCAAAAAGATCACATTAATTGCTCCATAGTGTTAAAAGAAGCGCACAGACACACATAGTTAACCTAAACAGATTAAAGAAATTTGGGAAACTTTTGGACTTGTCTTTATAATTAAAAAATATTATTCATATAAAAAATATTATTTCAAACAAAAAACCCTCAAATTCTGTAAAATTTGAGTGAACAATGTAACACCAAGCGAATAGGTAAGTTTTTGGCGTAAAACAAATTGCGAGAAAGGCAACAAATGTTATATATGTAGAGTACTTGTTGTATATGTACATGTATCCAATTAAATGACCTGTTACAACGCGAATCGAAATTATTGTTCTGTAAGAGAATATTTGCGTATGTAATTACACACAAGTGTAATATTATTTTTTAGAAACCTACAACAATTCTTGAAATATTCTTTTAGCATTGCATCTTCTATTGTTTTAGTAAGAATTCCAGAAGAAGTAATTGGGTGGAACGATGAAAGAAAACAACGATTTATTGAGGAATTGAAGAAAGGGAAATCTCGAATCCATCGAGCTAGAGTAATAGTTGTTGGCTGTGCAGGAGCAGGTAAAACAACTTTGGTTGAAAGACTCAAACATCCAGACAGAGATGAGATGCCTACAACTACCACAACTGTTGGTCTTGATGTTCACAAAAATGTGTTCCTAGTCGACGGCGGGAAACTAATATTGATGGGTAAAAAACATGTTTACATAATTATCTATATTTGTGGTCGTATACTTTTGTCTTATTTCTTATGCTCTTAATTGTATAACCTTCAATTTCTATCTCTAAACTATAAACAAGAGAGGTAAATGGTTAACCGTAAAACTTGATTGTAATACTCTTCATTATGCACTCTTCTTCTTGGTCAAAACCCCAACACTAACAAAAGACGCAAACGAAGTAACAAGTTTGAAACATAGATTAATTGAAAACCCACAGGAATATGCCTGAAAATTCTGGAAACATGACAATCTTACCCTGTAAGTGTTACTGACATTCTGATACTTCCTTTAAAACAATATAAGGGTTTTCATTATTGTCATTATTCAAATTATGAAAGTTGAAACTGAACAACCGATAGAATGATATATTCATCGACTCTTCCTAACCTGAATAGTGTTGTGTCGTTAAAAATGACTAAATTTAATGTTAAAAATGACTAAATTTAATGAAGATTGTAAAGTAGAATATTTCAGCTTTGACGACTTTATATTGAGCAGTTATATGTACATGTAGCTCACACATTTTTGCGCTCAAAATATTTGAAATTGAATTCGAAGGTTTCATTAATCCAAACAATTTTAATGGTTTTTGTTTTCAAAGAGGATATTCAAGGGGGCGCTCAAGTACAGAGATAATGGCAGTTAATGCAATAAATCTTTAAACTTTATCTCAAACAAAGATCTGGTCATCAAATCAAAAAACTATATTAGGTTTTGTGTCATTCATTATCTTTGTCAGTTCAGACACCAGGATCCATTCTTACTTTTTCCGGTGTGTATTTTTTGCATTATTCATCTTTTTATATTTTTCCGTTTCTTTCTCGTTATAGAACTAAAAATCTATTTTCCCACGTCAACAGACTTAACTTTATAGATCGACTTACGCAGCATTGTTAAGGCTTGAATAAGGGGGAAATGTCTAATTTATACGGGAAATGTTTACTGTGACGTCACACAAAATAGGTTCATGTACATTTTATATTCCTCATAATACCAGAAAACCAAAGCAAACCATAGTTGTAATACTACCATCGTCAAAGAAATCATTTCTTACCACAATAAAGAAATGGAAGAAACTGTACAAGGAAAGAATAAAATCTCCACAAGAAACTGTAAATAAGCAAAGATCCGACATAGAAAATCTGAAAGCAGAAAACAATGAAATAAAAAAAAAATGCAAATTCTGCACTAGCCAAATATATATATATATATATATATATATATATATATATATATATATATATATATATATATATATATATATATATATATATATATATATATATATATAATATAATACTTTATTTAAAGAGGGTAACCCGATTAGTGCAATGCACTAGTCTTCCTCGGGGCCCTCTAAACACATTCACAATAATACAATATTAAAAACATCGTACAATATTATAATAAATAATACAACGTGACGTGAAAAAAACATGTACATATACAGATTGATTCAAGAACATGAAATTATATAACTTTTAGTTTCTACATGTTATAATGAATTTTTCTACATTTTTACGAAAAGTTTGTACAGTTGGTGAGAAACGGATATGCAAAGGTAATTTGTTCCATAAATGAACTCCAGAATAATGAAAAGAATTTTTAAATTGATTTGTTCGATATTTTGGTAGATGAAGGTCATAGTTCGTTTCAGATCGTAGAACATAACTATTAGAGGAAATAAATTCAAAGGAGTCTCTTAAATATGTTGGTGCCATACCATGAAGTGTTTTGTACAGTAATACATATTTATGAAAATCAATTAACTCATAAATGGTCAGCCATCCAAGTTTTTCAAATAATGGTAGTGAAGGGGCATCATAAGCTACATCTAAAATAATCCGGGCTGCCCTTTTTTGCAATTTAAAAACTCTATCTATGCCAGCACCTGGCGCATTACCCCAAATAGTAAGACAATAATTCAAAGAAGGCAGAATGTATGCATTATAAAATATTTTTCTCGTGTGTAAGGGAAGAAACTTCTTAATTCTGCGTAAAGTATACAATTTATAAGTCAAAGATTTACAAACTGAGTCAATATGATAATTAAAGCGCAATGAATGGTCAATATGTACTCCCAAAAGCTTTTCAGATTCAACATTTTCAATTAATTTGTTTGACGCATATAAATTTAGTTCAGGGGAATTTATTCTTGATTTTCTCTGTTGAGTTCCCATGAGCATACATTTTGTCTTGTTGGTATTTTAACACCATTTGATTTTTGGAACACCAATTTTCTATCTGACACAAATCAGAGTTTAGGGCATTTTCAATATCTTCTACATTTTTATGATATGTATGTAAGGTTGCATCATCAGCAAACATATCAATATCTGTTCTATTTACATGTAGAGGGAGATCATTTATATACAATAAAAATAATAGGGGACCTAAGATAGATCCCTGGGGCACTCCTGCTGTGACGGGCAAAAAATCAGAGGAATATGTACCTATTTTTACACACTGAGACCTTGAGGTTAAATAAGATTGAAACCATTTAATAGCCATTTGGTCAAAGTGATATGATTAAAGTTTACTTATAAGAATATCATGATTAACCAAATCAAATGCCTTGCTAAAATCGATGAAAGTTATGCCTACTAAATTTCCTTGGTCCATAGCTTGTAGCCAATTATCTGTAAGTTTTGTTAGAGCCGTTTGGCATGAGTGAAATTCTCGAAATCCAGATTGTGATTTAAATAAGAGATCAAAGCTAGAGGTAAAGTTACGTATCTGATTGGCTATGTGTTTTTCAACTAATTTTGATAATGTTGGAAGAATGGATATCGGTCTGTAGTTCCCTGGATCTGCGTGGTCGCCATTTTTGAAAATAGGAGTAACTTTTGCTTGTTTTAAACGGGATGGAAATACTCCATTATTGATGCTAGTATTTATAAGATGTGTAATAGATTTGCATATAACATTTGCCGAAAGCTTTAGAAGACGAGGTCCAATCAAATCTATACCGGCCGACTTGTTTACATCAAGTGTATTCAACATATTTAATACTTCAAACTCACTTATATGATTTATACTGAAAACATTTTCTTTCCCTAGTTTAGTTTCTGTAAAACTATTTAATAATTCTGAATCAAAACTTTCTACTGACATATCTGCTAATAATTTACAGGATATTTCAGTAAAGTGTTTGTTAAAAATATCAACAATATCCTGTAAATCTTCGAAATCCGAACCATTTTGTGTTATATGGGTAGGTGTGAAATTTTTTGAATCTGATGCCAATTGGTTTAAATAACTCCACATTTCTTTAGGACTTGAACTATCTTCAATTGCTGATTTGTAATACTTTGATTTGGCTTGATCTATTAATTGTGTCACTTTATTTCTCCAAAATTTGTAATTTTCTGAATTTCTTTGTAGATGGTATGTATCACGTAAATGTCTAGCATCATTTATTTCCTGAGTAAGCCATTTAGGTCGAATTTCAGTCTTGACTCTTTTAGTTTTTACTTTGGCATGCTTGTTAAGAATATCATTAAACAATTCATAAAATTTATTCATGATCTCGTTTGTGTCTTTTAGCTCAAGAAGTGAGTTAAAATTTGCATTTTCTAAATCTCTTAAAAACTCATTTTCATTGAATTGTTTAAAATCTCGATATTGGATTTCAATATGTTTTCCTCTACGCTGTATACAATTAGTTTTCCGTGTCAAACATACAGGGTAGTGGTCAGATATAGCAATAGGGGGTACATTTGTTTCACATATGTTTTCTGGTTTCGTTGTATAAAAATGATCAATTAAGGTATTTGAAGAACTTGTTATTCTAGTAGGAACAGTAACTATCTGTGAAAGTCCAAACTCCTCTAAAGCAGATGCCCAGTATTGTGGGGGGTCTTTCATTAGATCAATATTGAAATCACCTGATAAAATTATTTCAGTATCGTCACAGCAGGAGGCACAGTTCACCTCCCTTGCTAGGTCCTCCGCCCAGCAGGAGGGGGCAGATGGTGGACGATAAGCAGAGCAATAAAATATAGGTTTTGAATTTTTCAGATTTATCTCTAGCCAGATTGTCTCAATGTTACTGATTTCTAAATCAGCTCTACGTTTATATGAAATTTCATTTGAAATGTATATTAAGATTCCACCACCTGCCCTTAGTAAACGATCTTTTCTTTCAAAGACAAAGCCCTCAGTATTCAATTCAGAGTTGCCTATCTGCTCAGTCAAAAATGTTTCACATAAACCTAAAATATCTAAAGTTTGTCTGTTTTGAAGTAATAGTTTAATTTCATCTTTTTTGGGGATAATATGACGAATATTTAAATTTCCGAATCGTAAACCTTTTTTTACCAATCCAAATCCTTGATTTTTTTGTGTTGTTTGAATATCATTGTTATGGGTCAGAGGAACCGTTTTCTTAACTTGTGAAACAGAATTGAATGAGCCTGGCATAGGAGAAATGACAGTAGTTTGTTTAGCTGAACTAGGGCTACTTTTGGAATTTGTGATCGATTGATTCTTACATTTAACTTGTGGTTCTCTTGTCAATTTAGAATTTGTAGAGATATAACAGTTATCAGTATCGTCACATAAACATTGAAAGTTATTACATTCAATACAAATAATGCTAAGGATAGAAAAAGAACTAGAATTTGATATAGATTTAGTACGGTTGTTTACGGCTACGCATTCTTTGCCTGATACCTAGAACATGTAAGGACAGGATTTCGTCTTGTGTCCTAATTCCCCGCAATTCCAGCAATCAAGCTTTCGTCCGTGTCTACAGTGGCGCGATGTGTGTCCGTGTTCACTGCAGAAGTAGCAAGTCACAGACTGGTAAAAACTTGCATTGGAGTCCGCTATGTTTCGACCGGAATTTCCCCGTAGAATTGAAACTTCCCTATTAATCCGTCTGAGTAGCATCGACGTCCCCTTGTCTGAGAGATGAATCCCATCTTTCCAATACTGAATGCCCTTTGCCTCCTTGAATTCACCTTT